CAGCCAAACCACCTGGTATTTAACAGCTAACTGAAACTTCAGTGTTTGCCCAACACACCAATGTAAAAATCAAAGGACTGAACAGGTTTTAAAATACTCTATCTAGGTCAGCCGGGCATGGGGGCCCACGCCTATAATCCCAGCATTTTGGGAGGGGGCAAGGCGGGTGAATCACGACGTCAGCAGTTTGAGACCAGCCTGGCCAACATGGTGAAACCCCATCTCTACTAAAAATGCAAAAAAAAATAGCTGGACATAGTGGTGGGAGCCTGTAATCCCAGCTACTTTGGGAGGCGGAGGCAAGAGAATGGCTTGAACCTGGGAGCCAAGATCACATAACTGAACTCCAGCCTGGTGACAGAGAAAGATTCAGTCTCAATAACTACAACAAAAAAGAAAACTCTAGGTCAAGAATCTTTAAAATGATTTTTTCATAAGCTTAAAACTCAGCTCAGGCCTTTTTCAAAAGCTTAAAAACAGTAATTGCACTGAAAAACAAAGCTACATTCTCAAAAATCTCAAAACAATGCTTAAAAAATATTCCAACAATTGACATTTTATGTTACTTTTTTAAGTGGGTAAACTTTAAAAACAAAAAAACTCTCTGAGGACAAATCCATGACTAGAAAATATACTTTATGGATAAGATAAGGACGTATAACTTTATGTTAGTGACAAAAACACCAGGTATAGCCTTTGTAGAAAGAGAAACCAAGTAGATTAATTTAATTGTAAAACAAGGAACATCCAAAATGGAACACAGAATTTAAAGTGTAGAAACGTAGTTTCAGAAAGGTAAACTAGTCTCCCACCCACTACTCCCTTATTTAAAAGACAAAACAGGCCGGGCGCGGTGGCTCAAGCCTGTAATCCCAGCACTTTGGGAGGCGGAGACGGGTGGATCACGAGGTCAACAGATCGAGACCATCCTGGTCAACATGGTGACCACTAAAAATACAAAAAATTAGCTGGGCATGGTGGCGCATGCCTGTAATCCCAGCTACTCGGGAGGCTGAGGCAGGAGAATTGCCTGAACCCAGGAGGCGGAGGTTGCGGTGAGCCGAGATCACGCAATTGCACTCCAGCCTGGGTAACAAGAGCAAAACTCTGTCTCAAAAAAAAAAAAAGACAAAACAAAACAAACACAATGTTTTGTGATACAGCATTCAATAATCTTGATATGAACAAAAACATGTTCATTAAATGGACTAGTGGATGGTAAGAAGCCAGAGTGGAAGACTGGACAGAGCAAGGTGTCCAGATGGAGCAGGGTCAGCCAGTCACACCAGACATGTGACACTCTGAGGGTATGTTACTTCCTGTGCTCATCAGCCATGTAAGCACTCATAACTTATGTAACAAAAATATATTTTACAATCAGAAGAAAGAAGTTCCAGAGTTCAGAACTAACGTCCCTATCTGTAACTAAAATTAAGTACATGAATCTAATTTTTAAATTACAAAGCACTTCACAGAATTCCTTAAATGAGGGGCTGGGAAGGACATGCATCCTAGTGTAAAGACTAACATAACCAAGAGCTAAAGAAATTTTCCCTCAAATGATCAAAAACAAGGATCCTTTTCTTAAGACACTTATTTTGACGTTCAATTATTTGTTTTAAAAATCATTTATTAAATTCTCTAAATGCTAATTACCAAGAAATAAAATATTAGTCTGACTACAAGCAAAGCCTAGAATACCAAATTTTGGCCCCAGATTTGGATTTTTAAGAATAATTTTTAAAATAACTTTAATTTTACACACTTTGAAAAATAGTGTTTCATATTTCAGTGCCTCAATTTCTGTGATTTTTAATTTAAAAACTGGAGGTATTATCACTCAACAAAACTTCTAGACATACCAGTTCTAAATTAAGTGTGAATACCAGATGTGTTGTGCATCCTTTAAAATTTGGAAATCTAGTGATACTCTGTCTACTGTCTGCCTTTTTTTTTTTAACTCTTTTAGGCAACTGGGTATAAAACTGTATAAATGCATGTGATATAATTCTACCAGGCAAATTCACATACATGGTCTTGAAAACAATAAAAGGTAAAAAATATATAAAAATTAAAATGCACACACCTCTTTACATTACTCATTCTATGTAGGGCTCTTAGTAAGCAGTAAGGTCACTCTATAGTAAGTTTCGCAACTCTGCCCTCCCTCCCGCCTCTCTGCACAGGGCCTGTGGCTAAGTGCACCACTAAGCACAGGGTGACTGGGACTCTGTGGCACTGAGCCACCGACATTCACCAGATATCACACAAATAGGAGTAAACACACAGTCCTGACTGTCGTCAGGAAGCTAAACACACACTCCGTGCGCAGCTTTGGATAGAATGTTTCCTATCCCAGGAGCGATGAGAATTCCTTTAAAGGTTCTTAAGCTGCAGAAAGGAGAGATCACAATAAACCTTGATTTGCTCAATGGCACATTTCATAACAATTGGCACACAGACTTTTTAATTCAAATCTATTTTTATGTACGAAGGAAGACTCAAACAGACCACCTGCTAAATCTGAAGTTGAATATTTCATCACTTTATATGCGTGTGTGTGTGTGTGTGTGTGTGTGTGCAGTCAGTTTATAAAGCAAAATTCAGTTTAACAATACTGACTGAACCCCAAATACAGAAAACCAACAGGATAGAAACTGAGGGGCAGACAGCCATCCATAAGAACCAAGACAGAGCCGTCAGGGTATTTGGCCATCAATAAGAAACCTCCAAAGGGCTTTGCTAAGCCACAACAATGCTGTCTTCACTATTTTTAAATCTTACTCAAATGAAAATTAGCTTGAGAACATCAGTTAGGCTTCATTTAACTATGCTTGGTTCATTTTATAGCTTAGAGACAAGCACTATGCAGAGTACTTGGCATAAAGCAGATCCTCATTAAATGTTCACAAAATTACACTTACATTCATAGAAAGCAAGTTTAATCTGGCAGCAGAAAAAAAGAAAAAATAATTTTACCCAACACAGATCTGGCTTCCAAGTAAAACAACCAGAGACACCCTAGAGTTTATCATCCTCCCCAACAATACTCTGCTGGGCTTTTTAAAAACACAATACTGCTACTGTATTTCAAAAGATACATTCCACATTTCATCATTTTCTCTAAGAGAAAAGGATCACAGAAATAAGTAGTGAGTGCACTGCACGTTCTATCCCCCAAGTTCACTGCGACGTCAGCACTTGGGACTAAGTCCCAAGATACATGTTAAATCGTGGTAAACACCTGCGCTGAGGAGAACGTTTCTTAAGCTATATTTGCATATATAGCTCATTTCTAGCCCAACTATTTCTGATCACCCACACATACTTCCCATCTCAAAAACAAAAAGAACATTACACCTCACAGAAACTGTTCGAAACTGCCTTGAAACACATTTACCATGCTCAGAGTACTATGTAACTGAAAAGCAAGTTCAATTTCTCACAAAAATGTTCTTTTATTACCCTCTTCTAATACATCATATTTGCACAATTGAAAAATGAAATAAAAATTGCAAGTGACTATTATAACTTTGTATTAGTAAACATTTTTACAAAAATATCAATTACATTGCTTTAGGTTTGTATTTTAACTACAAATGCTTTTCATCACATTTTATCCCTGTAGTACAAAACATGAAAACACATCCAAAAATGATTTTAACACAGATATATTCATAGTCTTGAGAAAGCAAAAAGGTATTTAATATGCAGTGCTTTACAATAACTAGCAGATCCACTGCTCCACAGAAGCAATGTATTCAGTAACTACAACCACCCACGTCAGCCTCGGGTTAACGGAACTAACAAAACCTGGCTTTTCAGACAACTGCTGCAAATATGCTCAATACATATCACCGCTTTTAAAAACAATTAACTTTTAGAACTTGGCAAATGATTTATAAAAACACACTAGCTAAATGTAAAGAAATCAGGAAGAGATAGCTTTAGAAACCGTGTCATAATTCATATTAACTATAAGTCAAAGAAGTCTCTATGAAACTCTGAACCTTAAATCCAGTAACGTTATTTTTGAATAATCATCTAATTATACATTCACATCCTTCATTAAAAGCTTTCTGCTAAATGCGATATATAAATGTTATGTACTGAAGTACCAAAGATAAACAGTTAAATAGGTCACTTAGATATTTCCTGAAAATCATACCGTTTAACCTAATTAAGACGATCTCTGTTTTGCACATAAATGACATTAATGTTAATGGTCAGTACATTTTTTTCCCCACACTGTTTGGGAAAAAAAAAAAGTCCTCTCTAGTTTAATAATATTATGAAGAACTATTCCCAAAACTTCAAATAAAATAAAATGTATATATTTAAACAAATGTAACTAGTTCTTGGGCTTGTTTCTCCTACCTAAAACATGCTAGAAGAATGGATAAAACTGTGGAAAATACAGTGAAGTGCGCACGTCTGTGTGTGTATAAGTGAATGAGAGAGAGAGAGTGTGCGTGAAAGAGAAAGAGAGAGAATGAATGCTTTCTTTTAAAAGTATTCTCAAGTAAAAAATTTCATTTTAAAATATAAAATGAGTGGCTCATTAAGACCCTGGAGGTTCTTTTAAAAAACAAGAAGAGATCTCTCATTTTCATTTCCGAGAAATTCATACACATACACATGCAGAAACACACATGTGCCTGTGTGCATGTGCACACACACCTACATCTCTCTAATAAAGCAAGGCCCTTTCTCACTTAACATAAGGCAGTAATAAAATCAATATTCATATTCCTTAAGACGAACTACATTCCACTGATGATCCTGATTCAACAATTTTACAGTTAAACAAAATTAATTCCACCTCAAAAATCCATTGACCTTAAGCTTTTAACAAACATTTTCTATTGCAGAGATTATTGTCAATATTTGCAAATCCTTGAAATTATATTTGGCTGGAACCTCTTGCACTTGCTATATTAATATTTCTTAGTAAATGTATGCTCATCCCTATCAGAGCAGAAGGAGCAGCTGCTACTCACTGGGAATCTCTGGGGTCCCACGGCAGGTCTCGGCTGGCTCGGAACTGGCAGCAAGGGCACTGCAAGAAAAATGCCTTGCATTAGAGACACAAGATATGAAATTTAATATAAAATATATACTGTGTATACCAGACATAAAACATTGCACTTACACTTAAGCTAAGCATCTAGTATTTGTAACAATTCCATAAAAGAAAAGGGGAACACAGAAGTTTCCTTTCAGTGCACAACAGTGCAAGCAAAGTTCCAATCTCAGTAGTTGACTACTATTTGGAATTAAAATATTTTGCAACACAAGAAGATAGTATTCCTCCAAAATAAAAAAACCTAGTTTGTTTCTCCTATCCCTATCCAGGTTATCGAACCCCAGTTATATTTTCCTACACCAGTCATATAAAAATTTAAATCTCAATCCTCATGAATCAAAAGAGAGAGAAGGGGAAGGAGGGAAGTGAGACAGTCAGAGAAAGGAAAACAACACATCCCAGGAATTGGAGAAAATGCTCACAGACCATTAAAAAGAAGGATCTACTATAAATTCTACTATGCCAAGGCTTTTAGTTTACTTTGGTTTATAAACAAGCAGGACTTCCATCAATCCACCAGAAGAACAAGGAATCAAATCGTTTTTAAAAAGACGTTTCAGAGGGGAGAAGATCCAAGATGGCTGATTAGGAGCAGCTCAGGATTGCAGCTCCCAGTGAAAGTGCAGAGGGTGAGAAGATGCCGGATTTCCAGACAGATTTTTAGTGCCCACAGACCAGGAGATTCCCAGGCAGAGGAGCCCCACAGGTCACCAGTGTGGCTGTTTTGGCCAGCGCAGCAGTTCTCCATACAAAATACACTGATCTGGGTGCTCTTTTAGCTGGCGATTGGAGCTCCAGGAAGGCAGAGTCGTTCATTCATCTGATTAAAAAGGGGACTGAAACAGGGAGCCAGGCCAGGAGATTCCCGGGTAAAAAGCGCCACAAATCTCAGTGCCGCTGTTTCTGCCGGCACAGCAGGTCGCCGCATGAGAAATCACACAGATCCCAGTGCCCTGCAACACCTGGGAGAGAGTCGACTGTTCAGCTAAAAAGAAAAGGCTCTGAGGCACAGAGCCAGGTGATCGGGCTCGGCTGGTCTACCACTACAAAAAAACAGCAGTTGGAAATGCACTGAGTTGAGTTTCACAGCAAGCACAGCTGAACCCAGGACGGTACAGCTCTGTGGGAGAGGGGCGTCCATCATTACCAAGGCACTCCAACACTATGGACGTAGTCCGCCATTGCTGAGGCAGCCCACCATTGCCGAGGCAACCCACCATTACAGAGAGAGACCGCCATTACAGAGGTGGGCAGCCATTGCCAGGGCAGTTCTAACTACACCCACATAAACAGGACTGCAGGCAAGTTCACATGGCAGCTGGGAGGAGCCCACAGCAGCTCAGCAAAGCCTCTACAGGCAGACAGTGACTACAATGCCTCCTTGCTGGGCAGGGCAGCCCTGAAAAAAAGGCAGCAATTTTGGAAACTCATAAATAAAGCCCTAACTCCCCGGGACAGAACACCTCGGAAAACAAGGGGGTTTATGAGTTGTGCTGCAGCAGACTTAAACTTACCTGCCCAGCAGCTCTGAACAACAGAGCTCACAGCTCAGCACTTGAGCTCCTATAAAGGAGAGACCGTCTCCTCAAGCAGCTCCCTGACCCCTGTATATCCAAAGAGTCACCTCATAAAGGAGAGATCAGACTGACATTTGGCGGGTATCCTTCTGGGACAAAGATAGCAGAAGAAGAAACTGGCAGCAATCCTACTGTTCTGCAGCTGCTGCAGGTGATCCCCAGGCAAGCAGGGCCTGAATTGAACCTCAGCAGTCCTACAGAAGAGGGGCCAGGTTGTTAGAAGGAAAACAAGAAACAGAAATAATTTCATCATCAACAAACTGGATGTCCACTCAGAGACCCAATCTAAAAGTCAGCAACTACAAAGATGACAGGTGGAAAAATCCACAAAGATAAGAAGAAACCAGCGCAGAAAGGAGGAAAACACCCAAAACCAGAACACCTCTCCTCCTACAAGGGATCGCAACTCCTCACCAGCAAGGGAACAAGGCTAGATGGAGAATGAGTGTGATGAAATGACAGAATCAGGCTTCAGAAGGTGGATAATAAGAAACTTCTGTGAGATAAAAGAACATGTTCTAACCCAATGCAAAGAAACTAAGAACCTTGAAAAAAGATTTGACGAAATGCTAATGAGAACTGACAACTTAGAGAGGAATATAAGTGAATTAATAGAGCTAAAAAACACAACACAAGAACTTCACAAAGTATACACAAGTTTCAACAGCCGAACTGACCAAGCAGGAGAAAGGATATCAGAGATCGAAGACCAACTCAATTAAATAAAAAGAGAAGGCAAGATTAGAGAAAAAAGGGTAAAAAGGAAGGAACAAAGTCTCCAAGAAATATGGGACTATGTGAAAAGACCTAATCTACGTTTGATAGGTGTTCCTGAATGTGACAGAGTATGAATCCAAGCTGGAAAATACTCCTCAGGATATTATCCAGAAAAACTTCCCCAACCTAGCAAGGCAGGCCAATATTCAAGCCCAGGAAATACAGAGAACACCACAAAGATATACCTCCAGAAGAGCAACCCTAAGGCACATAATCGTCAGATTCACCAGGGTTGAAATGAAGGAGAAAATGCTAAGGGCAGCCGGAGAGAAAGGTCAGGTTACCCACAAAGGGAAGCCCATCACACTCATAGCAGATCTCTCAGCAGAAACCCTACAAGCCAGAAGAGAGTGGGGGCCAATATTCAACATCCTTAAAGAAAAGAACTTTCAACCCAGCATTTCATATGTGGTCAAACTAAGCTTCATAAGTGAAGAAAAAATAAAATCCTTTACGAACAAGCAAGTACTTAGAGATTTCATCACCACCAGGCCTGCTTTACAAGAGCTCCTAAAAGAGGCACTATACATAGAAAGGAACAACCAGTACCAGTCACTCCAAAAACATACCAAATGGTAAAGAGCATCAACAAAATGAAGAATCTGCATCAACTAATGGGAAAAACAGCCAGCTAGCATCAAAATGGCAATATCAAATTCACACATAACAATAGTAAACCTAAACGTAAATGGGCTAAATGCACCAATCAAAAGACACAGACTTGCAAATTGGATAAAAAGTCAAAACCCATCAGTGTGTAGTATCCTGGAAACCCATCTCACATGCAAGGATACACAAAGGCTCAAAATAAAGAGATGGAGGAAGATTTACCAAGCAAATGGAGAGCAAAAAAGAAGCAGGAGTTGCAATTCTCATCTCTGATAAAATACACTTTAAAGCAACAAAGAGGAAAAAAGACAAAGAAGGACATTACATAACGGTAAAAGGATCAATGCAACAAGAAGAACTAACGATCCTAAATATATATGCACCCAATACAGGAGCACCCAGATACATAAGGCAAGTTCTTAATGACTTACAAAGAGACTCAGACTCCCACACAGTAATAGTGGGAGACTTTAACATCCCATTGTCAATAGACAGATCAACCAGACAGAAAACTAACAAGGATATCCAGGACTTGAAGTCGGACCCGGAACAAGCAAACCTGATAGACAGTTACAGAACTCTCCACCCCAAATCCACAGAATATACATTCTTCTCAGCACCACATCACACCTACTCTAAAATTGACCACATAATTGGAAGTAAAGCACTCCTCAGCAAATGCAAAAAACAACTGAAATAATAACAAACAGTCTCTAAGACCACAGTGCAATCAAGTTAGAACTCAGAATTCAGAAACTAACCCAGAACCGCACGGCTTCATGGAAACTGAACAACTGGCTCTTGAATGTTGACTGGATAAACAGTGAAATGAAGGCAGAAATAAATATGTTCTTTGAAACCAATGAGAATGAAAACAAAACATACCAGAATCTCTGGGACACATTTACAGCAGTCTCTAGAGGAAAATATACAGCAATAAGTGCCCACATGAGAAGCAAGGAGAGACCTAAAATTGACACTCTATCGTCAAAATTGAAAGAGCTAGAGGAGCAAGATCAAGAAAACGCAAACTCTAGCAGAAGACAAGAAATAACTAAGATCAGAGCAGAACTGAAGGAGAAAGAGAGACAAAAAAATGTTCAAATAAAAAAATCAATAAATCCAGGAGCTGGTTTTTTGAAAAGATCAACAAAATAGACAGACAACTAGCCAGCTTAATAAAAAAGAGAGAATAACCAAATAGATGCAATAAAAAAACGATAAAGGGGATATCACCACAGATTCCACAGAAATTCAAACCATCATCAGAGATTATTACAAACAACTCTATGCACATAAACTAGTAAACCTGGAAGAAATGGATATATTCCTGGACACTTGCCTCCTCCCAAGCCTAAACCAGGAAGAAGTCGAAACACTGAATAGACCAAAAACAAGGTCTGAAGTTGAGGCAGCAGTTAAGAGCCTACCACCCAAAAGAAGCCCCGGTCCAGATGGGTTCACAGCCGAATTCTACCAGATATACAAAGAGGAGCTGGTACTATTCCTTCTGAAAGTATTCCAAATAATCCAAAAAGAGAGAGCCCTTCCCAAATCATTTTATGAGACCAACATCATCCTGATACCAAAACCCGGCAGAGACTCAACAAGAAAAGAAAACTTCAGGCCAATATCCATGATGAACATAGATGCAAAAATCTTCAATAAAATACTAGGAAGCCGATTGCAACAGCACATCAAAAAGCTTATCCACCATGATTAAGTAGGATTCATCCCAGGGATGCAAGGCTGGTTCAACATACACAGGTCTATAAACATAATTCACCACATAAACAGAACCAAAGACAAAAAACACATGATTACCTCAACTGATGCAGAGAAGGCCTCTGACAAAATTCAACGGCCCTTTAGGCTAAAAACCAACAATAAACTACGTATTGATGGAACGTATCTCAAAATAATAAAAGCTATTTATGACAAACCAACAGCCAATATCATACTGAATGGGCAAAAACTGGAAGCATTCCCTTTGAAATCTGGCACTAGACA